TTATTTAATTCCTAAATCTAAATTATCATTTAACTCAGTTTCAGGCTATTCGAAATTATAATACGGTACGTAATAAACTGGAGGCTCGTCCTGGGTAAATTGTGATACGTAAGACGCGTAATTTGCTGTGGTAAAACATAGTTCTCTTAAAGTGATATAAGTGATGTTCTACCACGCATGTGCTATGATTCTGAGTGTAAAGACTAAGAACTTCTTTTAATCTTAAAAATAATTGAATTTGTTTTCTAGAAGTTCAATGAAGGATTATTAAATGCAGAATTTAAATTTCAAACAATAAGATGTTCAAAGAAAAGTTAATTGAAACATTATGCTGTAATAGTTTCTTGTCATAAACTTTTATGTTTCAATTTATAAGAATTATATAAAATGCCGTATTTCCTAAAAAGAGTAATTGAAAAACATCTCAAACAATTTATGATCGATCAGCCAATATATAAATCTTTCATAATGAAAAGTAACCTGTGACACTGTGGCTAAATTCTCATCTCATTTATTCACGTCTATATTGTATTTCCATCATCAATTAAGTTGTTAATTTGAAATGTAAAAACTTGGGTATTTAGTCAAATACATTTACTTTGCTTTCGAAAATAACTGCTGTAATTTTTCCTGCTTGCAAATAAGTTTCTTATATTTGATACCATCTCTTAATTAGCTGCTAAATTATTTCTACTGCATAGTGCTTTAGGTGGTAAGTTTTTTTTTATACATGAATACTTAATTTTGCATATTAGGTTTTTTAGTTTTTAAAAATATATATTAGTACAAGTAAAGAAAAAATTTTCAAAAAAGAAAGTAAATGTATACTGTATAGTATTGTAAAGTTCTGACGACCTACTGAGGAGATACTATTTCGACGAACAATCCGAGCCATCCCTACATAGGCAGTGCTACTGCCTGCCTGATACATCTAACGATTTTGTTATTGTAGTGCCATCTCTGGGCAAGTATGTGAAGTAATAACTTTGATGTAGACAAGCAAATAAATATATTATTATTTGCATTTTCAAACTTTATTTACTAGTTCAACCTGAATCGGCAGAAAAGTATTCTGATCACATGTTTTTTAGGCGTCTACTTTAATTGCTTAAATAATGTCTTAGAATATTATACATTTTCCAATAGCAACACGTGAAATATTCGAAAAATAAAATTGGATTTTTAACCACTTCTCGGAAAAGCTCGATTTCATATTAAATAGTTATAGTTAAACGATCTGAGCAGTAATCATACTCCGGAAATTAGGTACATTAACATAACAAAAACTGTATTAAAAAAAAGTTCCCAAAATTAGCTAAGCTTTGATTTTACTAGGCCAGAAGACAATAAATACACAATACAAATATAAAATGAAAAAATAAATAAAACAACAAGCTTTCCTAAGAAAAGCCTCCCATCGGCTCAGTTGTAAGTCTGAAGACTTATAACATTAAAACCAGCTTTCAATACCAGTGGTAGGCACATTACAGATATCCATTGTGTTGCTTTGCGCTCAACAACCAGCAAACAAACATATCCTCATAAAAATGTGAACTACAATCTGTTTTTGAAGACACAAATTTATTTGTAATGTAACTCGTCTATAGTTTACAATACCACTTGAATTCTGAAACTCCCTTATCTAATTTAAACATTTTATTTTAACCTTACTACAGTAAAATATCATTCCACATGCAAGTTTAGTAAAAGTGAATTTTATCTCAAAAACATTTGTTACAGTTTTGTAATGCTGTTTTTCAACAGTTTGTTTGTGTTCGATCATGAAAAATTAAACTCAAGTAGCAAAACTGATATTCAAATTATTTTGGAAAGATAGACTTTCCTTCTGTTACTATAGATATGCGAAAAATATGAATGAATTGTGCTTTTCACGATGAACGAATGACATTTGGCACACAGTTAGGGCATATCCTAATAACGATTTTCGGCTATAGGGTAATTGCAGATTTGTCATATAATGGCCATTGCAACCATTTTACAACATTAAAGTCAATGAACGTTTCGAGATTTTGTGTATGACATATTTGTATTTTCCAGTCTAATGTGATACTGACTTACCAGACTATTTAGTTTTAAAACTAGTGCAACTTGAATCTTTATGCAGGTTAAAAGTTGCCCCAAGATCCTTTCAAACACACCCAGTCATGATATATCTATTGTGCTTGGCAAGCAACCGATGCTATAAAAGTCCAGGAAATTTTCAACAATGGCCTTGTAGCCTGCTCCATCTATACCATATCTTTAATCGCTGGACAGTGAGTTGCCTCAGATATGTCGTCCTGGCACAGAATATATTTGTCCCGATGTTTCACACATTATATATCTTATGTACTAGACTTTTCAGAGTCCATAATCTGATATATTTTGGCCCTCTTCATTCAGTCAAGAAAGCTGTGATATCGTATGAAAGGAGACAAATAGTAAATATAGTTAGAAAATAGTAATATTAACATCAGACATATTTGTAAGATCAACATCTTGATATTTTCACACTAAAATACACATATTGCAGATTTTCTAAGTGGCAGTCAGTATGAGTGATTACTCGAAAAGTGAAATTATGAAGTTCACCAAAGGCCAGCTTGGGATTGACTTGACTGAGCGTGTTCACTTCACCATAATGAAAAATTAAAGTATGAGTTATATTCCTCACTTGAAACGAAGAAAATATGAGAGAGCTATTCTCCTCCCTGAATACCGATGCAGCAATACTTGAAACCAACAGTCACCAACACACATCGCCAGGTGTACTTACTGCTCAGCCCAGAGAAGTAAGAGGTTGGTTTTTCTTCATGCACACATGAAGAGGCAGACACGTGCATCCTGTTATTTGTGCAAGATGATGTGAAGCAAGGATTCAGTAAGGTGTTGATGCGCTCAACTATCAATGATGTGGTAGAACTAGCAATGACATCAATTCAGCACTTCAGCATCACTGAGATGTGGGTTGCCTTTGCCACAGGAAAGGATCTTCAGATTCTTAGCAGTTGATGAGATGGATAGAGCACTGACAAGCATCTAGCTCTTTCCATGTTCTTATGACTTCACTGGGTGTGTCATCCTTTAGATGCAGGGTAAAAAACGGTATTGGATATATGGAAAATTGTTCATGAAGTCATACCAGCTATATGCAATTTGGCTCCTAGATATGAGTCTGTAGATGACAGGCTGGGTACACTGGAACGTTTTATTGCACTCTTGTTTGATCAAGTCAGTAGTCAAGACAACGATGGTCGGAAGCAGCTCTTCACTCAGAAGTCTTTCCTCCAACACAAGCTGCACTACTCAAGCAATCCAAGAAGGTCACTGCTGGGCAAAAATGATGCTTTCTGTACCAGAGCTTCCATTTTCTAGGGAATGGGGATGGAGTAAGAGTGACAAAGGTGGCTAGGATATAAGATGGACAACTCTTCCAGTGACTACGAATGCCGCCAATTGCTTTGATGCGATTGCAAGCAAGGTTTAAGGGAAGTGTAGATGCATCAAGACAACATTCAAGTGCACTGTGCTCTGCCTGTGCAGTGGACTATGAGATATAAAAAAATTCACTACTAATGAAGACAGAGTTTGTATTTTTCAACTTTGTTTGTGTAATGAACAATATATTATTACCAATGTATTTTAATGACTACGCTGCATTAGTCAATTTTTTAGCTTGTTTGACATTTTATTGGCATGTGAAAATTAATAAATGTTGATATAATTCCAATGTTTAAAATTTGCAACCCAAACTCTTAGTATACATAATTTTGCTAGTAACGGATAGTGACCAATCTTTATAGTCGTGTTCATCATAGGACAAATCTGCGATGACCTTATATCCAAAATCTTTAATTAAGACACGTATTTTAAATTTCATGTTTTACCACTAAAGACATATTTACTACACATATCTGTTGGACTGTTTTTCTGGGATAATTTGAGCAAGAGTGTAAAGTATGAAAGTTAATGGATTGATATTGGTACTTATAACAGCTCACCATAACATGAA